AGCAACCCGGCCCCCAGCTCAAAAAGGTTGCCTACCCCTGGGCTAAATTGTCAGTTTTCTGTTTCACCATTGTAGCTATGGGAGGGGCAAAATAACGACATCGTCCCCCAAGATAGGAATTCTGTCACTTCTGTTTAAATTTTCCTTCAGTCCACAAGTTTCTAACATCGCAGTAGCTTAAAATTTTAGTTGAGCATTTAGGAATGCAGTTTTGGCATCCAAAGAAAAGGGAGCAGACAAAGTTTACCAGCACTGCAAACATAGGATTTCTAGGAGTAGATGGTTTTTCTTTGTCTCAGTTTCTGCAATGCTAGAAATTTGAGGAATGAAGAAACATTTCACTGGGGGAAAGTAAAATACATACTGGGGAAGGCAATGGCCTCATTTTGACCTATCACATTAGATCAGAGATGCACAATCTTCAAGGTGCAAATTGGCAAATGCAATGGCATTGAGGGAGATGGAACTTTTCAAAAAGACAATTAGGAAGGGAATTTTTGAAGCAGGACATACAAGAAGCTACAGAATGAGTCTCCCTTAACTAAAATGCTTGGGACCAGAAGTGTATTGGATTTCTGTGATTTTTTGGGGAGGGGGGTTGTTTTGTTTTTTGGATTTTGGAATATTTGCATGTACATAACATATCTTGGAGATAGGAACCAAGTTTAAACATGATATTTATTTATGTTTAGTACACACCTTATACAGATAGACTGAAGGTAATTTTATACACAATATTTTTAATAATTTTGTGCATGAAACAAAGGGGGGATGCAGACAGGCGGCCGGGCCACCCCAGGAAGCGGAGGATCAAGGCCGAGGCTGCTGGACATTTCAGCTCTGATCCTCCCTTTCGTCGCCTGTGAAAGGAACGCTAAAATAGTGCTCCTTCCGCAAGCCACAAAAGGGGCACCGCAAGAGCCATGGCGAGCCTCTTCGGCATCTCTTCTGGCTCAGCGTGTCCGGACGCTGAGCCGGAAGGACATCATCGGAGCGCCTTCGTGTGGATGGGCCGTCACTCCGATGATGTCCTCAGGAAGGGGATGGGGCGCCCAGCGTCCGGTTGCCCCTCCCCTGCCTGGGATTGAAGACGGCACTTTTCGCCATCTGCATTCCCCCAAAGTTTGCGTACACTGAATTATCAGAAAGCAAAGTTGTCACTATCTCAGCTACCCACATGGACAATTTTGGATTTTGGAGTATTTTGGAATTTGGAATTCCAGTTAAAGGAGACTACACCTATACTATGAATGACAAATGAGAAATAAAGATATATTGTCTTGGGAGATTCAGGGTGAAATAAAATTCCAGCTAAAATTGTGGAAAATAAAATCTTGAAATTGTTTTGGCAAAAGGAAAATGCAAGAGCTTGCCTTGGGTCTTTTCATGGTATTGCTTCAGTGTCTTAGCATAAATGTAGAAGTATGTGAAGAGTCTTTTTTTTAAAAAAAAAAATTATACTAATGTTGCATCATCTTTTCCTCATATCGATACTGCCACCTATGCTGACTATTCCCACAATTTGGCTATAAGGATGTTTTTGTTAAATCAAACTGAGTCAGTCCATTGATCTAACTAGTGAAGGACTGTCTCTAGCCACTTCTCTGAATGGATGACAATGACAGATGGCAGTGCAATAGAGGTTTTCTGATTCAACTGTTGGATCAGAGATGATGGAGTTGCGCTTGGACACCACCCAGCAGCCTTAAATAAATGTCTAAAATCAAAGACCAGTACACTTCTTCAGCTGGTATTGATCACACCACTGAGAAAGTATTTTAAAAGTTAGCTGAAATTGTTTTTGTCTGCAGTTTGGCTTTTAAAGCTGATGTTTTTAGAAGTTATTGTTCAATTGCAAACAAATTGTTACCCTTTATAGTGATAGTACAGTATTTGTACTCATAGTCCAGACTATGAGTATCAGACTAGCCTGATTTATTTTCAAAATATATCATGCTTTATTTTGCAACAAACCGTTCTGGATTAAGTCACTGAAAAGAATCTCAAAGACAACCGTGACAATAGTCAGTCACAGGAAACAGGATTTCAGTGACAAAACTGGATGCCTTATAGCAGGAAATGGAAAATGTGCAGGAAACCTGTTTCTGAGGCTCCAAAGAGCATACTGTAACAACTTAGTTCTTCCAGAAATGAGCTGTTAGAATTAACAAACAGTATAAAGCTAATGGAAAGAACATTTGAAAAAGGTGAGACATGGTGTTGTGAAGAAAGAAATAGTGAAGGAGTATGAGCAGAGAATTCTGAACTGCTCAGATATATTCTTAGAAATCAGGAAATATTCTTAGAAATCTGGAAAAATGGCAATCTATCTGCAGAAGTAGCACTCCCCACTTCCATTTTCAATACCCAGAGGGAGTTTCATGATTAAGGAAGCTCTTCAAGTACATATTTTTACATTGTACGGGTATTGCGAAACAGATGGTCAGCACAACTCCAGCTACCCAGAATTGAGGGAGGGGGCAAAGAGAGACAAAGACTGATAGTGAGAGACAGATCCTTCATCTCTAAATCCCATCTAGTGTTCTCAAGTACATCCCTACTCTGAAGGGATGATGGTACACAGTACATCTCTGCTCTGAAGGTGAGATGGTCTCTTCCAGGCATCAAATCTTACAGCCTGATGTAAAGGACAAATTATTATCAACTGATAATTGTATATTCTATAATTCTGCGAATTGTGGAAGGAACAGTACCCCTGATGCCTACTAGGATAAAGTCACTTGTTCAGTTTAGTTCAGAGTCCCAAAACTAATTTGTTTTGGGGGAAGAGTAAAGCATTCCTATTTATGTCCCCTTAACAACACAAAACAGTGTCAGTATGGGCAAAATAAGTCTTATGATCACATGAAGCCCTCAAAGTTGTTTTTGTATCCCCTAACCCTCTTTCCAAAGTCCTGCTGACTGACCCTTTTCCACCCAAAAAGGTTGAATTTCCTCTCTTGAAAGTCTCCAGAAGTGGGGGATACAGAGGATACATGTGTATCCTCCAACTGTCCAATTTTGGCAGGGGAAGTCCTGATTAATCCTCTGTCATCCCACATTTTCAGCTTTTTAAAAAATGTCCTAGATTCTCTCTCATCCTCTCACTTTCCCCGGCCTCATTCCCACTATACAACAAATGGTTTGCAAACTGGT